GCAGGATCTGGGATGAGAAGCTTTTCCAGCCCCTCCCAGCAGCTGTTTCCACCGTGTGTTCTCATATTTGCACTAGAATGAGGTAAAGAAACACCTTTATTTCCTCTCCCTCAGCCCCAAAGTGTGTGATGTAACATCTGGTGGTCCTCAGGCTCTGCCCCTTTCCCTGTGTGACCCTGAGACCCCACAGGGACCAAGGAGAGGGTTTGGAAGTGACTTGAATAGACAATAAAGCTGAGATTAGTCTCAGGTGCTGAGCAGCACTTGGGCTTGGCCATGATCTCCTTTGCTTTTCCCATTCAAACATGTGCTGGATTTTCCTGCCCTGTGTGCCCACAGCAGGGAATTCTCCTTTAAAACCCCCAAATCCCTATTAGAGGAGCAGGATGAGCAATGGCATGGCAAGACCTGCTGGAGGGGACTTGCTGGTGGCAGCAGAGTTGAGGCTTTGGCTGTTCCTTGGGGGGCTGAGCACCCTCACAGTGCTGAATCTGCCATGGTATCCATGCAGAATTCCCAATTCTTCTCCCCTGTGCCCTGAACAGGACCCTGCAGTGCAGGAGGAGCTGATGACAGCCCCAGAGTTCCGTCGTGGTGCTGTCCCACCACACCCCATGACTTGGGCTTTGCAACGTGTTGCTGAGCCCATGAATCAAACACTTGGATAGAAGTGGGATGAGTCATGGCAGTCTGGAAAACTACTCCTGGCTTGGCTGGGCTTGAGGCAGCAGAATCTGCTTTCAGAGCATTTGGGTTGTGCTCAGGGTTGAGCTGAGGATCGTTGGTGCGTTTGTTCATTTGCCAGGCACAGCATTTCCCTTGTCCAGCACGAGGTGGGTGGGTGGAGGAGCTGCTCCTTGCCAGTACTGGTGGCAAAAATCAGGGAGTTTGGTGCCAAACGTCAGGAGAGTTTGGTGCTAAAAATCAGGGAGTTTGGTGGCCAAAATCAGGAGAGTTTGGTGCCAATCATCAGGAGAATTTGGTGCCAAAACCCAGGAGAGTTTGGTGCCAAAATTCAGGAAAGTTTGGTGCCAAAAATCAGGAGAGTTTGGTGCTAAAATTCAGGAGAGTTTGGTGCCAAAACCCAGGAGAGTCTGAGGCTCAGTGGTATGAGCTCCACCGAGGCTGAGTGGTTTTCCAGAGGCAAAGTCACTGGGGCTAGACTGGAAGTATGTGGGCAGGGAGGGAGGGAAAAGGTATTTTTAGTCAAGAGAAAAGCAATTTGCCTCCTTCCCTGTGGGGCCCTAGGAAGTGTGTTGTGCACAGGGATGTCATCTTGGATGCTCTCAAGTACTACATCATTTCAGGGATAGGTAAGTGTAGGGTTAGATGGGATATTGGGAAGAATTCTTCCCTGGGAGGGTAGTGAGAGACTGGAATGGATTTCCCAGAGCAGCTGTGGCTGCTCCATCCCTGGGAGTGTTCCAGGCCAGGTTGGATGGGGCTTGGAGCCACCTGGGCTAGGGGAAGGTGTCCCTGCCCAGGGCAGGGGGTGGATTAGATGAGCTTTAAACTCCCTCCCAACCCAAACCATTCCAGAAGGGATTTTTTCCCCCTGTATTTCCCCCAGCCCAAGGCAGGAGCAGCCCAGGAAGGGTTTGCTGCTAAGTTTCATGTGACAGATCAGTGAGAGTTCTTGGTTTGCTTTCTCTTTCCT